CCTCCATGGCCGGAGCTGTGGAGAACTTGCAAATCGCGCTTAGATATATATATATATATCTATATATATATAGATATATATATATATGTATCAGTGCGATTTGCAAGTTCTCCACAGCTCCAGCCATGGAGGAAGCTAGGATTAGAAGAGAGAGACGAGATAGAAGATGAACAGTTGAAGGAGAGTTGAAGGAGGAGAGTTGAGAAGATGCAGAAAGAGATCGTCGGAGCTTAGGAATAACACAGCTCCGGCCATGGAGGAAGCTAGGGTTAGAAGTGAGAGGTGAGAGAGAAGATAAATTTTGTATCTGGATTGTGTATATGTGAGGGTATAATAGTCTGATAAAATATTTAAATAATAAATTTTGTCCTTTATGCAAGATTTTATAATTATGAGGGGGTTCAGAAAGTATAATTTTTTTCTTAGTCCTTCTAACAATGAAAGGAAGGTAAAGGGGGTTTATAGTCAAATTTCCCTACTATTAATTTCCTTACTATCAATATCTTCCATTCTACCTCTGAAAATAAACGAGGCCTATTAGTCAGGTATATGATTCTTCTTTTGCTCACTGTATTATTGGTTGGTTTACAACTGTGACACACTATATTAAATAAATAGCCAGGGGTAACCCACTAATAAACAAATATTTTAAAAAAAAAAATCATCAAATAATAAATTAACATTCACCTTAATTTGTTTAGTATCTAAATTTGAATTTGTATATTTTCTCCAATTCGTAAAAGTTGTTAAACAAATTAATCTCAATTTGATTGAGATTTCAACAATAAGGTTCTGTTTGTTCCACTATAAAATATTTTTATGTTAGGTGATTTTGTCCAAAAAGAAATTTTTATTTTTATTTTTAGATGTTTGGTTATCACTAAAATATTTTCTACAACGAAAATATTAATAAAGGACCAATTATAGTGTAAACTTTAAAAAGAAGAAGAATAAAGAAAAATAATATTAATATATAATTTTCGTATAGAATTAAATATAAATGACGGGACAACAATACTCTCACAATTATGAATTATAATAATGAAAATTTTGATTTTTAATGAGTGGACATAAATGTAGCATACCATCATATATAGATTTTTTGTATACAAATTATGTTTGTATATTATTTTTCAAGGGATAAAAAACAGCTTTAATCCTTAAAATATGCATTTTTTTTTTTTTTAATCCATTAACCTTCAATTTTGTTATTTTGGTTCTCGAAATTGTCAATTTAAGTAAATTTAGTCTTATCTCTAATGTCCGTTTACATTGATAATGGGAAAAATATTTTATCTTTGGGTAAAAGACAACTTTGGTCCCTAAAGTATACATTTGTTATCATCTTAGTTCCTCAAATTTTAAATTTTGTCATTTTGATCCTCAAAGTTGTTAGTTTAAGTTATGACTAAATTGACAATTTTGAGGACCAAAATGACAAATTTTAAAACTTGAGGGACTAAAATGACGATAAACGAATATTTTAGAGACCAAAACTATCTTTTATTCATATTTTTGTTATCAATGTAGACGGAGGTTAGACTTAGGACCAAATTAACTCAAATTGACAACTTTAAGGACCAGAATGACAAAATTAAAACTTAAGGGATTAAAATGAAAAATAACGCATACTTTAGGTATTAAAACTATCTTTTATCTTTATTCAAGAATAAAATAAGACAAGGATTGAATATAACAAAAATAATAATCCCAAAACTTAATTTTGATCAATTGCTCAACCATAATATATGTATAGGTGTATATGTACAGATATGTATATATAGAGAGAGGGAAAAAAGACATTGTATGAAACAATGAGACTTGATATATATGTTGAATAGTATTGACCGTGATATTTTATGGCGAAATAAACCTATCCTAAGACATTGGGTGTAATAATGCACCAGGACTTGTGTGATGAATAGTACCTCTCATGACAAACATTTGTCATAAAATTGATCAGGCCTGACATGTTTTGCATGATTCATAATTTGAACTTCAATTTTCATTGTCAATAACAATTATTGGTTAAAAATAGTTACATATTTTCTTTGAATTGTTTTTTGTGTTTTTTAAAGAAAGCTTGCCCAAAGAAAATTTTCAAATTCAAGTGTATCCGAACTACTTGAATTAAAAGAATTCATCTAATGGTTGCTTTATTCAGTTTTAAACCTGACCTTACAATAGCAAAATCTGAGCTAAATTTTCTTCTTCCAAGCTCCTTTCCATCAATATGGTCGACTGTTGCTTTAGCTTTTTTACAGCTCTCATCGTCTTACCTATGTTTCATCAATGATGCATACATACATAATTTGTGAGAACAATCGTTACAAAATGGTGGTCAGCATATCTAACCTTCAGCTAGTTCATATACAAGCAGGACAAATTAATGTAACAAATTATTTGAAGAAGGCAAATCATTTGTTTTTTTGAACCTAATTATGTTTGAAGAACATAAATCATTTATTTATTTTTAACCAAAGTTATCTAAGATGGTCTATTCGGATTGGTTTTGCTTTTAAATGGCCTTAGAAGCATAAATGTCTAAAGTTTACTTTCTATGCTGACGGTATGAATTTGTGGTTACCTATGACAGAATTGCTTCTGACTCATCCCAGGAACTTGAGAGTTCATTGAGTCCTCCATGATTCAAAGATTGTAAGTTTCATCTTTATAGGTTTTTGTTTTCTTTGTTTTTCTGTCATTGGAGGCAATATTATTGCTTTTGTGATAGCACGTGCTGCCATGCTCTTGGGTCATGGTGGCTGCTGCTAGTATTAAAGTGACTGTGGCATCGGATGCATTGTTGGTGGGAAGGTTTTGGGCTGTTTATGGGTTTGAGGTTATCTAATAGGAGATGGATCGAGTCAGTTGTTCTGTTACCCGACTTTACTGTGTTAGTTTCTCTTTTGCAGAATAAAAGTTAAATACAAACCTTATTTGCGAGTGTGTAATAATGTTAATGGCGGGATATAGTGGGAGCTCTAGTCTGCTGTATGACCTCTTTTTGTGCTTTCTATTGTTTGGCATGATTTGAAGATTAATTTGTGTGTATGGAACTCCACGTGGAACACATTTGCGCAGGTCACACTTGATGAAGTGTTCATTAGGGGGGCGACCGCCAATGTTCCAATGCCAAGTTGGTAGTGACCTATTTCAAGGCTGGGACTCGCTGTTATAATGAAGAAGGATGATATTAACACTATCTAGCTAAAATACTAAACCTCCTCTTGGATTTTCAAAGCTATACATGTCTAAATTGACATGAACTCATAAGCTCCCGTGTCTCTCAAAGGGTAATAGAAACTCTGCACAGCATATTGAAAATGTCCAAACTCATAGGCCCTGAGAAATTTCCTTTCATGTGAGCCCTCTCCATACACCAATTGGTCATGTGAAGAATGCAACAAGATAGTATTTATATTGGTACCAAAATCAAGGATTAAAGAACAGGACACAAACTATTTGACAAAAAAAAGACCAAACAGAAACTCTATTCATCTTGCACCTAAACAACAAAATTTTCAGTTTTCAAACTGAAATTAACAAACAATTGCTAAATTTAGTTATAAATCTCCCCTAGAATGTACATATGAGCTAAATTTTCATGGTGTCCATTGATCTGTATGGGGAACAACATGGTAAACACAGCATCGCTAACCCAGAAACTCTCATTCTCTAAACCATAGCATACATACACACACATATATAGTTATGTACGACTTTTATTCTGACAATGTTCACTGTTGATTGAAATGGTAGGAATTTGTTCTTTACTCTTTCCAATGGTATTCAAGCTAGGCGGTTTGGCTGCTCCGTAATAAAAGAATGCCATTATTTTTGACAACTCATCTGCTGTTCGAATCGCTGAATACCAGTAAAAAAAATCAATAATAATACAATTATTATGATTCAAGGCTGAGGCTGTGTCAAGAATATAATTTATTTACTAGAAAATTTACCTTTCTCACAATATAAGATCTTTCCAGCTTTAGTGAAGATAAGCTTTGGGAAGATGGACACTTGTAGAGCAGAGACCAAATCTAGCTCAACAACAGCATCTATTGCAACACACTGTTTGGTAGTTGAAAATAAAATAAATGTTAAAAGGTGGGATGAGGATAATAAAAAATAAGAAATGGCTTTACTTGCTCTTGGTGATGGTAGCCAACAGTTCCATATGATATTTACAGCTTTCTCCAATTCATCCCGCATCCTTTCATTTTCCAGTGGTCTGCAGAGATTCATAAGTTTTCATTAAATAATAAAAATATACTCTATAATAAATCTAGCATTTTTTGCTATAAAATCAATCATGAAAGTTTGACATCTCATTAAAAATATTCTGATAGCTTCCAATGCACCATGGAAAATCAACACCAATAAACATCGCCAATTAATTGACCCAAGCCTTTTTTTCTTTCCCTTCCTTATTAGACAGTGATTGCTGTAAGCATACAAGAAATTGTGAAAGAACACTCGACTTGAGTAGTCGTAAGTAGCAATATAGAAAAGTGTGAAAGGTCAGAAGACCAATTAATCCATGTGCATTGACCCATTGGAAGTGAACTTCTATAAGTAGAATGAGAAGATTGAACACAGATTCAATGTGTAAACCAGATAGCCATCAATCACATAAATTGAAAATTGGTACACAAGAAGGGTAGTTGTTACCAAGGAATATATAGAGAAGTCACATGTTCACCAAGACTAACAGGAGAATCTCCATGAATTTGTAATTATATACAGTATGAGGCACCAAAAGAAGAAGATCATAGCATTGCAGAAGCAACTAGAACTTCAGAAGATCATATCCCTTCCAATCTGGTAAATGGGAATCAGATCCATTGATGCACTGGCATAAAATGAAAATGAGAATTACAAACCATACTAGGAAACAAAAAGAACATGAAGCAACGTTGCCCAACACTGCTAAGACAACTAGTACTTTATATCAAATGGGTGATGAATGTTTATCCAGTCAGAATTCCAGACAGGCATCAAATGGAAATGAGAATCACAAACCATACTAGGAAACAAAAAGAACATGAAGCAACGTTGCCCAAGACTGCTCAGACAACTAGTACTTTATATCAAATGGCTGATGAATGTTTATCCAGTCAGAATTCAGAACCAAGAAAAAAAATGGAGCAACCTGGAAGAAGAAAAAAAAAAACACTGAAAACTAACCTTCTATATCGATTATGCACAAAGACAATCAAAGGACTGAAGTCCTTGAATACAGTCTCTTCCCATTCTCTGGTGGTGATGTCTTTGATTGGACGAATGTAATTGTCATCTTGCCACACCAATTCATTTTCACTATCATAATTCTCATCATCATCATCCTTCTTGACATTTTTAATAGTAATCTTGTCAAAGAATTGACCCAAGCTGAAACCCCACCCATCAGAATCTTCAGGCCAATCAGGATCCTCCTCCTCCACAACAAGTGGATAATCAGCCAAAAGCTTCTGCATCTTCTTCCTCCTCTCGACAGGGTCTACCTCCTCTTCGACATCCGGATTCATATCAATCACTTCTCTAATCTTCCTCCTCCATTCTTGCCTCTCTTCCTCATCCATAAGTAAGGGATCATCATCCTCCCCATCATTCCCACTAGATGCTTCTCCATCCTTATTCCCCCCATCGTCATCAGGCTTGAGTCTTTCAGCTATTCTAGAAGCTCTTAATTTGCCTAATCTGAAACCACCAGCCTGCCTTTCATAATCAAATTCACAGGAAATATACGTCAGGAATATGCAAGGCAAAATAATTTTTATAGCAATTGATGTTATAACAGAAAGAGGCGCACTCGGGAAGGTGACTTTAGAAAGTTTGGTGATGACATTGACAAGGTAGAATTGTCCATCCTCGAGGAAAGCACATCAGTTTTCCATCGTTTTCCCTTAAACTGATTAGTAGTAGTGGTAGCAGCAATGGAGGAATAAGAGGAATCCTTAAAAAATTGCTCTTTAAGAGGATGAGAGAAAAGATGTTGAAACCCAATCGTATGTTGCAGTGCCATTTCTGCATAACAACACAAAGCAAGATTAAATGAAGAGTACAAAGTTATATGTATATATATATATATATAGAGAGAGAGAGAGAGAGAGAGAGTATAAATTCAAAAAAAAAAAAAATCAGGAATAAACAAACGAGTTTTCAGCAACTGCATGGGTAAAAATTCAAAAACTCTAACTCTTAAACTTGCTTCTTTCCTATTGTATTCCAATCCATTTTTTGAGCTGTATGACTTATTTTTTGTTTGTTATCCTAATTATGAGAACCACTATAAATATTATCATAGGTGAAGAAAATGAGGTGTTAAAAATGCTACATAAAAGCCATACATATCTATTACATTACAATCAAGAAATTAAAAAATGCGCAAGGGATGAAATTTATGATAACCAAAATGATCCCACAAATATATGAATGTGCTAATTACAAATGCAACGGAAATCAAAACTCATCTCTAATGTTAAAAAGTAAAATGAACAGATTTATTCCAAGGAAAATGCTATTCCACCAGAATTCGTATACAGAATTTTGTAACCATAATGATGTGGCAGTGTTATTTTGGGTAATTAAAGACATCTCCATGAGTTCTTTCTTTTGAGATGATAGCTCAAAACCCAGCCAAATCATTCAGTATAACTTTTCAGCATAGATTTTCGATTTGCATATCACTACTCTTATTTCACATACACAATTGTGCATAACTATTTTCTTGCCTTTTGAACTGAACTAAATACCAAGGTAGCTAAGCATTGAATTTCACTAGAAAAACTGATTTCGGTGCAAAAAGGGCAAACAAAGAAACCCAGCCAAATCATTCAGTATAACTTTTCAGCATAGATTTTCGATTTGTGTATCACTACTCTTATTTCACATACACAATTGTGCATAACTATTTTCATGCCTTTTGAACTAAATACCAAGGTAGCTAAGCATTGAATTTCACTAGAAAAACTGATTTCGGTGGCAAAAAGGGCAAACAAAGCACAGCTTGGCCCGCCCCAAACACACATGACCCTACAACTTAACTTTCATACCCCCCCAAACAGAAAAGCAAAGAATCAGAAAAATTCAGTGCCTTTCAATTGAAATGATTCCCCAAAAAACTCAGCAAAACTGAATAAAACTCAAAGCAAAACTATCCCCAGAATGAGGGGTTGTTCCAAAAATTCAGCAAAACACAAACATATATCAGCCAATGATCAATGTGTATGGTAATAATTGCATCTATGAAAACCAACTGAATCATGAAGGGCTGGTGCTCATCTACTGGGTTAATACACAGAAACCCTAAACAGCAGAAACAAAATCAAATAACCCTAAACCATTAACAGAGAGAAGAAGAGACCTGAGACCACTGAATGAATGCTCGGTCGGCTTCTAAAAGTGGAGGCGGTGGAGAACAACGAAGAGCTGCTCGAGGGAGGCAACGGGGGAAGTGACTCTGACTGTTTGGATGGGGTTGAAGTTGGTGAGAATTTATTTCTCACAATTTATTATTATTTTTATTTTGTTTAATTTCTTAACCAAAGCGAATATTTCTTAACCAAATGTTAAGTTTGAGTTTTCTGAATTAAGTTTTTTAAAAATTGAGTTTTTTAGTTTTCGTATTTTTTTATTTTTAATGAATATTTTTAAAATTTTAAATATTTTTTTTACTTTTTTAGATGCACCTTACTTAGATGTATCTAAAAAATAAAAAAATTTGTGAAAAAATATTTTTAAAAATTAATAAATACATAAAAATATAAAAAATGTATTGAATTCTCGTATTTTTTTTATATTTTTTGTATTTAGTGAATTTTTAAAAGGTTTTTTTCAAATTTTTTTTTACTTTTTAGGTATATTTATGTTAGGTATGTCTAAAAATTAAAAAATTGCTCAAAATATTAAAAAAATAGTAAAAATAAAAAAATACGAAAAATAAGAAATTAGAATTTTCTTAAAAGTGTTTTTGCAAAGTGGTTAAGAAAATAAGAAAAAATTCTACTTTCTTATTTTCCACATAAATATACCTAAAAAGTAAAAAAAAAAATTGAAAAAAACCTTTTAAAAATTCACTAAATACAAAAAATATAAAAAAAATACGAGAATTCAATACATTTTTTATATTTTTATGTATTTATTAATTTTTAAAAATATTTTTTCACAAATTTTTTTATTTTTTAGATACATCTAAGTAAGGTGCATCTAAAAAAGTAAAAAAAATATTTAAAATTTTAAAAATATTCATTAAAAATAAAAAAATACGAAAACCAAAAAACCTCAATTTCAAAAAACTTAATTCAGAAAACTCAAACCAAATACACTGATCAGGTTTGGTTAAGAAATATTAGGTTTGGTTAAGAAATTAAACAAAATAAAAATAATAATAATTGTGAGAAAATAAATTCTTTTGTGTTATGAGAAATTACAAAAAAAAAATATTTTTAAAAAAAATAATTTTATTACAAAATAAATTTTAAATTTTATCAATTTAATTATTATTAGTTTTTATTTATTTTCAATCTAAATTATTTCTTCAATTTTGTTAGGTAAAAATGATTTTTTTTAAAAAATAATATTTTAATTTTTAAACTCAACAAAAAAGAATATTTTAGGCACTTCATATACGCAGATTTTAATCAACAATAAGTATTATTTGAAAAGTAGAACATTTATTTTTTGAAAAATAAATGTAATAAATTAACGTCACAGTTATTGGATCAAATTATTTTTTTTTAATAGATAATCTATCTGGTGTGGTTCAAAAATTAAACGTGGCTTATGGTATGCCCTGTAGACCCAAACAACACGATTTTATATGGGAGACAAGTTGTACCCTTAGGTCTCGTTTGTTTTTAGAGGTAAAATAGAGGAGATTGACAGTGAGGGGATTAAATAAAATTGTGTTTGTTTTGATGATAGTTGTTGGTGTAGAGATTGTTAAATTATTTTTATATAAAATACAAAAATACAAAAATATTAAACATTAATGTTCAAAAAAAATGCCCTACATGTAAAAAATAAAAATAAAAATAAAAAATAAAAACTTTTCAAAAAAAATAAAACAATGATTTTTACTTAACAAAAAATATAAAAAATTAAACATTAATGTTCAAAAAAAACATGCCCAACATGTAAAAAATAAAAAAAAAATAGTCCGGCGGACTATTTTTCTAAGACTACCTCCACCTCTTCCATCCCAATCCTCCTTCCAAGGCTCAATCTACTCTGGACCTCCATCTCAATCCCTTCTCTATCTCCCAAAACAAACACAACATTAATGGGTCTCACCTCCATCTCAATTCCAATCCCCCTCCATCTCTTGAAACAAACGGGGCCTTGGTATTAGGATAGACTTTGGAAGGGGGATTGGAATGGAGGAAGTGGAGGTGGTATTAGAATTTTAGTTTGCAGGACTATTTTTTTATACATATATTTTTTATTTTTTACATGTTGGGAATTTATTTTTGAACATTAATGTTTAATTTGTTGTATTTTTTGTTAAGTAAAAATCATTGTTTTATTTGTTTTATTTTTTTCTAGAATTTTATTTTTTTTTTTAATTATTTTTTTTATTTTTTACATGTTAGGAATTTTTTTTTAAACATTAATGTTTAATATTTTTTGTATTTTTTATTTATTTTATTATTTTATATAAAAATAATTTAACAATCCCTACACCAACAACTATCATCAAAACAAACACAATTTTACTTAATCTCTTTACCATCAATCCCTTCACTAACAATTCCTTCATTATTAATCCCTTTACTATGAATTCCCTCCATTCTACTTCTGAAAATAAGCGGGGCCTCAAAGTTATTTGAATGATGAATTGGGTCGAAAAAATTGAATTTTCCCAGTGATCATCAAAATTGTTTAGTTAGCAAACAAGAACGAGTTTTGATAGGACCATAAAGGAGATGAGAATTTAATGGTAGTATTGTGGTTTGAGAAATTATGAGTTCTTTCTTAAAGACTTTACTTTTTTTTCTATTAAATTTTTTTATTAACCAATTAATGTTTGTGGTGAATGAGAAAAAAAAGAGATTAGAATTGGTGCATTTAGAGAGAGACAAAGTTGAACATAAAGAAGAACAATATAGAGTGATCCCACAAGAAACTTAGTGGTGGAGGAAGTATTAATAATTATCAAGAAATCCCAACAAGATGATTATTAGGAAAGAAAACTGGTTCGTGTGCTTGGATTTATGATCCTTTCCGTTGTATATTTATAATAGAATTACACCATCCAATAGTAATTATAATAATATTTTCTTAATTTAAAATAATTATAAATTTAAATTCCTATTTCATAATTATTAGATTTGCGATGTAAATTTTTTATTGCAAACATGTAATAAAGAATATCAAAATGAGCGTGGTTGATTTGATATAAATAATTAATTGCATGAATACTAAAGAACATCATCACTTCAAGAAATAAAAAAGAACAAGAATGTTGTAGACACCTCATTTTTGACCGTCCTTAAGACTTGGACGTCATCGTTTGAACACTCGATGATCATCCATGCTCGTGTTCGTTTTGAGTTCTCGAAGGTCTCGGCTACGCGCCTTGCATCAAGATCTCTTAACTTATCTGTTTTGTGTTTGGTCATGGACCAAACACTTGTGTTTTTGCTTCTAAGGCAAGGAATGGCTTGTTGGCCATCCCCACACCTCACCGGTCATGGCTTGAGGCCACCGGCCCTGTTTTCTTGTTACCGGCCAAAGGTGTTGGCCAGTCGGTAATGTTTTTGGTCAACCGGCCATTTTTGTTGGTCAATCGGCTATATTTTTCAGCCGACCCCTTTCCATCTGCTTTTGGCAGATATTTTTATGCCAGCTGTGACAGCTAGCATCCACAATACACCCCCTCCATACACGTGTATGGAGGGATTTGCTCCCTTGTGTTGGCTTCTCCAAGAAGCTTAGGAATTGAATTCCTATAAAAGGAGGGCCTCCCCTCCCCTTCCAGAGGTGGAACAACCTGTGATATATGATATATATCACTCTCTCTCTCTATATTTGTGCGTGTAATAGTGTTCTAAAAGGGTTTTTGTTCTTAGTTTTGCACTAAAACACCTAGTGTTACACTATACTTTGGTTGCTGAGGTTTTAAGGGGTTGATTTTAGAGTTTTGAGTTGGATTTTTATCAAAAAGAGGTGCTAGAGTTGGTGTTCTTGAAGTGTTCTTCAAATGTGAGAACTTACCTTTTTATTCCCCATTTTTGCTTAAGGTTTTAGACCTATTTGCATATTGTTTCGAGCTTAGTATATAAGTGATAAAAGTTCTGTATTTTCATGCTTAAGATGTTTCATTAAGGTCACTTTTGTGTTGGGGGTCGTCCACCCCCTCTTAGGCCTTGTTTGGTCTCTTTTTGTGCCTTCCTCTTTGGGCTTTGTAACCCTTTTGTTTTGGCCTTCTCACCACTGAAATCCAAAGGATTTTCAGTGGTAGAGAAGTGATTTTGAGGTCTTGTATAGGGGAGGGACACCCCTCTCCCTTTGTGACTCATTTGCTTGTATTTAGGGCTCATAAAGGTAGCATGTTTGCATAGTTTTATTTGGCTCCATTTCAGAGGGTATTTGGTGTTAGTTTATCATGTTAGACCTCTGTTTCATGTTGGTTCGATGGCCTATTGTATGCATCATGCACTTGCTTTGTAATCCCCTCTATTGTCATAACACGTACCATGCATTTAGACCATCATGCTTGCATGTTTTAACTTGACTTCATGAAGCTTTTAGCCATGTTGTGATATGTTTAAGCTCTGTTTGGTGTTGATTCAGTCATGTTTGCCATGTTTTGTATAGCCACCATGTATCCTAGCTTGTTAGCTTTGAGTGTATGAGTCATGAGCATGCTTTATTTGGGTTATGTCAGTGATTTGGAATCATTTATCATGCTATTTCAATCCATGCTCCACGCTTGTATGCTTGCATTTACCATCCTTTCAAAGCTTTGAAGAGTTGTTCCTTTGTACCTTAAAATAGGTCATTGTGCACGCCTCTTTGTTTAAGTCCTTGGGCTGCCATATCAGTGGGTTTTGGGGCTCCTTTTGGCACATTATAACTCTGATTTTCCTTAATTAAGTCATGTCATGCTTGGTTGTAATGGGTGTAGTGCGATTCCCTCTTTTGGCCTTGTGTACGCTTTGTTTTGTGCTCGCCTTTCTTAGCATGTTTTGGCCTTAAGCTATGCATGCTCTAGCCTTATTTTGGTCTGCCCTAAGACTGTTTTGGGTCACCTTGGTCCTTTGGGACTTGGTTGATATGGCCATGGTTCAAGTCCTTTGGCTAGCTTTGAGCTTTAAATCCATTAGCATGCCACGCTTGTCTTGTTTAGTTGATTTGGCATCACTCTTAACATGATTTTAGAGCTTATTGCATTGTCATATTCTCATGTTCATCACATCTCACTCATATTTGAGGATTGTGCATTGTTGCATAGTTTATGGATCAATGTGTGAACACGCATGTTTTGCCCTTTCGGCGCCTTAATTCATCACTTTAGCTACTGTTTTGGATGTGGCTGAGGTCTTCCCACTATGGTTTAAGTCCATCTTTGTATATAGCTGCATGCTTAACATGGTACATCTTGTCGCATACTTGCTGTTTACCTTTTGTCCCATGTTTGTGTAGGTTGCTTTGCATTTAGCATGCTCGCTACTTTAGCCTTTGTGTGCATGCTTGAGCCGTGTTGCACTTGGCATATTCATGTTACACTGCATTACTTTGAGTTAGCATGCTCATGTTGCATTGTTTGCGTGCATTGCACTACATTTGGCATACTTGCATGCATTGCATTGTGTTTGCTTTGGTGTGTCAAACCAAACATGAGGAATAAGGGACGTTCGTACTTGAAGTGACGAAACGTACCTCAATCCTCGGTCGCCGACACTCTTGATTCAACATGATAGAGTGTGTAGCATTCATTTGTTTTGTTGCATTCATTCATATTGATTTGCACACTTGACATCTTTGGCCATCATGCATCGAAATGCATGATTGGTGGCCCGAGGGTCGAGAACCATACTCCTTTGAGTCTCAAACATGATAAGGAGGGTGGTGGTGTAAACATTGCTTTGAAAATGCATTGCCATGTTCTGTCTGTCCTCTGCTGCAGCAAAACAGGATTCTGCAGGAAGAGATGGTCGGCCGACCATCTTCAGTGCCGGCCGGCTACAAATGTTTGGCCGAGAGCCCCATTTATGGTCGATGACCAGTTCTCCATAGCCGGTGGCCTCACCTCTTGGTCGGTGACATCCCACAGTGCTCAGGGAGTGATTCTGAAGCTTCCTTGGGACTTGTGAAGTTTTCAAAAGTACAGATCAGTGTAGACAGAGGCAGCACGAGTATGGCGATGGATTTCCGAGTGGAGCCGAGCATGCACGCATCCATCCCTCTTCCCGAGGCCTCTTTACTGCTTTCTTAGCTTAATTAATTTGTTTAATTAGTTAAGTACTATGTAGTAATTAGTTAGCTCGCTAGTTAGTTAATTATTTGATTTGTATTATCCTTTCGGTCCCTCTCCCGAGAGGGCGCAATTGTATAATAAGCGTGCGTGTGTGATGCATGTCTTCCAACCTCCACTTCTTTCTCCTTTTTACTTAACCGCTTATGATGGTTAGTTCTAGGGCACGTTTCAATTAGCATCCTTATGCTGTGCATGTTTGCATCATTCATCTGTATTGCATGTACCAGGCTCGGCGCATCATACTAACTGCATTATATTTAAATTCCAACTTGAATACATGTATCGAATTGTCGCATCTCATATGCCACTTTAGATTAACCGAGCCTATTCTAGTTGTATTTTGCCTGCGATGCATTAGTCATTTTAACATGGACTTGGATCATACATTTGATTACTAACATGTTCATTATTTTGGCTCAGAGTACACTGTGAGTATTTATGCTTTAGCATCTTGCATGTGTGTAAGTGTTAACATGAAAGCATGCGTACCATGAGGCTAATTGCTTATGTGATATAACTACCTGAATGCCTGTGGGTGAAGGTTGGATTACTTGAATTGGAACAATTCATCGAAATCCATGATTTAGCCTACTTACGAGTAGCAAACTTCAAACCGCTTTTCAAACAACAAATATGCAATGCTTTGTTCCAAATTAGGCAATCTAGTCTATACTTGTTTGCCGTGCGCATCATGTAGTAAAGATTAGCTTATTAACCGGAATAAGAACGCATGTGTTTTCAAAAACAAGATATCATGCTTAGTACAGGCCGATCTTCGGATCGGGCGAGCGGGAGTGCTCATAACTGACCTTCCCCAATAGTACCCAAGTTCCCGAACCGAGGCAACTTTGGTGATGACGGACACGTGGCCTTAGACAACGAGTCAGGGTTTCCTAAATTCTCCCAAAATAAATATTTAGGTGGCGACTCTGTATCTGGTAAAGCAGTCTATGTTTGACACTTCTTTCTAAAAATCAGTTTTCCAAAACTCTTTGGTGATTTATCAATCTCATCACATCGCACTTTGCGAGATTAGATTCAGAACCATGACATCGAGTTCAAACTGTAGTGAGCCCAATGAACAAAACGGGATTCCCTCCCAAGACGTCCAGGGACGTCTACAAATGTCAAAGTGATTCTTTTTCCCATTGTTGTCATCAAAAAGTACTGAAGCATCACAACCCAGCAAACAACATCAAAACCAAAGCATTAATTTCAAATATAAAAGTCAAATAAAACCAAACATTTGACAACACAGGTTTACATTTTTATTATGTATGATTTGAAGCTTTTATTTTTTTTCACTAGAAGCTTTCTAATGAATATTTTACATGGTCAAAACTTTTTTTTTCCTTTTTCTGGTGGCAGACTGAAAAAAATGAAAGGACAAAAAAAAAAGTTTGAATATTGGTATTATTTTAGATTTTCCTTCCTCAAAATGACAACAATACGGTCAAAGCTAAACTCGCTTGAAATAGAGAGTGAAAGCAAAAAATGGTTATGTGACAGCATATAACTATCGTGAACATGCTTTCTATGTTCTTTTCTAATAATGGAATATATTTTCTTAAGCATTTTGGATCTATCCCTATAAATACATAAAAATGTGCTAAAACTTTTAACATATGAAGTATTAACATTTTCTCTTAATTAATCTGCAAAAGCAAAACAATAGAGCTCATCAAAATGTTGGTGCTAATTCAGATCTTAGTGCCATTGGTACTTTTCAATATTGATGTTGGAGCAATGGGCGTGACTAGTTTGCCACCATGCAATTTCCCAGCAATTTACAATTTTGGTGACTCAAACTCAGCTACAAGCTCTAATAGATATCCTAATGCCGGGCGTCTCCTCATAGAATTTATGGGTATAAAAATATAAACATTTTTTTTATTCTAGTTTCAAGTACATGAATGAATATTTATCATAATTAGACACTATTTAAAACAGAAATGCATAACTTAACCTTGTTATTTTATGTCAAGCAGCTGATTATTTGAGAATACCATATGTGAATGCATATCAAAATCTAAACACAACAAATTTTCAATACGGTGCCAACTTTGCATCACCAGGAGCGTCTATTACTCCCCAACAATATCCTGATGGTAACCCCTTGGATATTGGAATTCAAGTCAAGCAATTTGGTGAGCTCAAATTGCAAAGTAATGATGTTTATAAACAAGGTAATTGCAGTGGCCATATTTATAAATACAACAATGTTATGCTGATATAATTACTTTACTGAATGTTGTCTACCAAATTAGAAGTTTGTTTCACTAATATTTGACCTATGATAGTTTCAATTATCTTTCAGCTAAGCAAACAAATACGAGTAGACTCCCCAAACCCGATGACTTCTCCAAGGCGCTTTACACTCTTGATATCGGTCAGAATGATCTTACCCTTTGCTATATAATAAATCTTGATGTTCGGGTTGAAATTCCAAATATAATTAACAAATTTGCCGCAGCAGTCAAAGTAAGTTGTACTATATTTAATTACAATTGGAATTGATAAAATTAAAATTTTATGTATAGACATTGTTGTTTTGGGTCATTGCTTAAAATAATAATGTATGTGTGAATGCACTTCTATGTATTGCAGGTTTTGTATCAGCAAGGGGCAAGGGCATTCTGGATACATAACACAGCCCCATTTGGTTGTTTCGGATATGCTAGCAGATTGATTGGGGAATTACCCAAGACTCAAGATCAAAATAAATGTTATACCTTTATGAATGAAATGTCCAATGAATACAATAGACAACTCAAAGAAAAGGTGAACAAACTGAAGGTAGAGCTTCCAGAAGCTGCCTTAACATATGTGGATCTTTACACCCCAGTGCATGAATTGCTCACCACTTACACTAACCTAGGTAATTATCATTATCGTCTTCATCAACTTTACCTTTTTCAATCTATGTTACAATTTTTTTTTATGTTACACTCATTTTTCCATAATATTTTCAACTCATTCTCTTAACTATATACAACTACTTACATATTAAAAAATAACAAAGTTCCAATAATATTGAAATACAAATAGCTCTTGTCCAAATAAATCATGGATAATCAAATGGTGTTTTAGATGTTTTCATGCTACAAAATGATTTATAACTATCATTTTTTATGTCATTATTCTAATCTAGGTTTTTCTTTTATTTAAGGTAATCGTCGTATTTCAATTTTCTTATATTGCTCTCTCTTTACATTATTTGTAGGTCTGGAAAACCCTACTTTTGATGGTGTACACCGAATTCAATCTGCGAATCAATGGCTTGCTAATCGTATAGTCAACGGCTCAATGTCAGACCCACCGATTCCAATAACCCATGCATGTCATAAGCGTGTGGGCGCATAACACAATATGTTTATGTAAATAATATTCAATTTGTGCTTCAATGTAAGGTGCATTACCAAAGCAACACATTTTGAATTTGTTTTAAACTTTTTTGTTACAAATTGTTCTACTTTTCTTTTAATATCCTAAAAAGATGTGAGCAACAATGAATAGTTGAATTTTATATTCAATTCCTAATGTTAAGTGCAATTTAATTCTAATAAGTTAGGCTAGCAATCATTACACACCCAATGTGTGCGCAATTCTATCCTATTTGATAATAACAACCTAAATCTAACATTTTGCCACCAAAGTTGACATGTTAAACTCAAATCTCTAAATTTGAAATTCACATCCATCTAAACAAGATTCTGAAGGGAAATGTAAAAATGTAAGGTTAAATTTTGGAGGTTGAAAGTATTATGAAAATCAAATGGTGTAAAAATAAACCAAAATGTATATGTGAAGTGAGAAATGGTGTGAATTGAAATAAATTATTGTATATAAATAGAAGGTCTCAAAAGTAATTTTCCATCCCTCTCGTAATTCTCAAAACTTTTTTTTCACTGAATTGTAATTAGTTGTCTCATGTTCAACTATTTCAATAAGACTGCCCATGTTTCAATCAATTTTCTCGAAAGTAAAACATAATTTCTTGTAAAAAAATTTCACTAATACTACCAATACAGAACTAAAATGTAGAATTAATTGCATAAAGTATATTGATAAGTTGAGATTTATTCTTAATGTGAGCCTCTCTACAATTTCATTTAATCCCAATTTTTATTATATTTTCTATAAATGATTTCATGCTCTATTGTGTTCTTAGCCTAATTCTAAACTATTTTAGTATAATTACATTTTTCGCTCCTAGAACTCGATCAAAATTCCACTTTGACTCCCTATTGTTTCTATTTACATAATTTAATTTCTACACTTTAAATTTAATTTCAATTTGATATTTAAGTCAAAATTTATGTTAATTTTTTGACATATACACCTCATGAGATTTATAAGTATCTCAAAATTATTAATTTTAACATCCGACTTAAATGGAAGAACTAAATTAAAGCTCAACGTAAAATGTGAAAACCAAATTGTGTAATTTGAAACATAGAGACTAAAGTAAAATTTTAAATAAACTACAAAGGTTAAAGTGTAATTTATCCAAATTTTTGTATATAAAATGATGCAACCTAACTTAAAATGTGAAAAATAAATTGTGCAATTTAAAACAATAAAGACTATAATAAAATTTTGAATAAACTAAAAAAGTTAAAATGTAATTTATTTAATTTATTTTAATATAAAATAGTGTAACATTTTGTGATTTTTTAATTTCAACTTAAAACATTCACCGTTTCGTCACACTATTGTGGATGGATTTTTTTTCACAAAAAAAATTATCTTTTCGCAATTCCTCTCAATAGTTGACCCAGGTCAACCCACCACGGCTCCATGATATCCACACTTTTGATTATTACATTTAAAAAAAGTGAAATGAGTATTTAAATATAATTACATTAAGGTTAAGTTTGGCATGTCTTAAAAAAGTTAAAAAGTTAAAAAATTATTATTATTCATCAAAAAAATATTAAAAAATTAATGTTACACACAAAATTACAACTCATCAATTTGAACCGGTCAGATCTGTGCTGCGTTTCTTAAGAAAAATTGTACAGTTGTGGTACAATTTTAACACACTGTTGTTCAGCCTGTGGGGCCCATCACGGGCCCCGTTTTGATAATCTGAACCGTTATATAGAACTTGTCGAGTACTATATGTCTGTAAAAAATCACATTGATCAGATATCGATAACTGCATGATCAAATCAGTTTTGTATAAAAAAAATGATGGTGTTATAGTTAACGATTAAAAAAACAAATCTGATCAGATAGCTATTGATATCCGACCAACGTAATTTTTTACAGGTATATAGTACTCGACGAGTTCTACACATTGAATATTTTAGATTATCAAAATGGGACCCGTATGGCCCCCACGAGCCGAAAAGCACCGTCCAATACAATGCCCGAAAAGTAGACAATTACTTCTTGGCATCTATTCGGCCTGCGCAGATAGACAATCGTACAACTCACACTCCTAATTTACTCCTATATACTAATTTATATAATTTTTTAATACGCATTTTTTCATAAAAAATTAAAAAATTAACCCAAATAATCATATTTTTTTTCTCAACTTTTTATTTTAAAAAGTCAAAAATACATACACCCTTGTACTTTTTAATATAATTAAATAATATTTTAATCTCATAATCAAATACATCACAATAGGCAATACCACTTCAAAATATAAACAAGCCCGTAACTCCGTTTTAATAATTTACCAACCCCATAACCAGACATAACATTGTTCTTATATTTAGGATTTATCAAGGAAAAAAAAATGAATGAAACAATTTTAAACATCACTTTAAGTGTTGTTTGATAAAATTGAAAATTAAAAATCATTCTGTTTTCAATTTTTAATTTATATTTATAAAAATTTTAAAAATTGTCATAAAAACTTGTTTGATAATTTTTTTTATTTATAAATGGTTGTCTCAATTTATAAATTTGAGAAAAAAACGTAAACTTAAAAAATGAGTAAACAATTTTAACCATCACTTTAAGTACTGTTTGATAAAATTGAAAATTGAAAATTGAAAATCATTCCGTTTTTAATTTTTAATTTATATTTACAAAAATTTTAAAAACTGTCATAAAAATTTGTTTGATAATTTTTTTGATTTATAAATGGTTGTTTCAATTTATAAATTTGAGGAAAAAACGTAAACTTAAAAAATGAGTTTACGTTTTTAGTTTTTAATTTTTTTTTAAATAATTTTTTATTTCAAATAAATTTTTTTTTCAATTAATCTTTTTTTTCAATTAATTTTTTTTCCAAAATAAATTTTTTTCAATTATTTTTTTAATTATTTTTTTTCATTTTTTTTCAAATAATTTTTTTTTCAATTACTTTTTTTTTCAAATATTTTTTTTTCAAATATTTTTTTTCCAATTAAATTTTTTTTCAATTATTTTTTTAATTAATTTTTTTTCAATTATAATGTGTGTGATTCTATTGTCATAAATAATAAAAATAAAATAAATATTTTAGGTCTGAAGAAACATATTTTTTATTTTATGTTTTTAAATTTTTTTAAATATTTTGTTCAAACAAAACGCGTTTGTAATTTATGTTTTTTTAAAAATAAACAAAAACTAGTTTATAAAATTTTTGTAAACAAAAACCAAAAACGTAAACGTTACCAAACGCTACCTAAGTATTTAATTTATTAAGTTACAAAGTTGTTTGATAAAAATTTAAAAGTTAATTACTTAAAAGTCCTATTAATAAATGTTATGGTAGCTCTGGTCTTATTTAAGATTTTATGAACCAATAAGTCCTATTTAGTAAAATTGAGAATATCATCAGTTTTTTTTTTTCAATTTTTAAAACTAAGAACATTATCAATTTTGCATAGTAATGTTCCAGATAATTATTTCACTAACTGATGAAAAAAAAAACAGATTATGAGATTAAACGTTTTTGTCCTTTTACTTATTAGTTTGATTCAACTATCCAATAAAATCAAGAAGATTATCAGTTTTTTCTAGTTATTATCAGTCTTTTCATCTTTAAAGTTTTTTTTTTTTAATTTTTAGTTTTGCACATCGATGTTCCATCATCATGCTCCTTTATAGACACAAAATTTTTAATTTTGTACAAAAAAAAAAATTTTAATTTTTCCCAAGTTTTTAAAAAAAATATTAGTATCTTTTTTTTTGCACATATATATATATATATATATATTTTAATTTTTTCAATTTGAAAGTTAATATTGTAAAGTTTTGAATATCAAAATAAATGTCAAATCAACATATTCTTTTATAGATAATCATAAATGATGAATAATCATTATTTAAAGGGCAATTTTGACTATAAAAAATTTAATGAGACTTGAAAGTCCAAAAAATCTTAGTTAGCACTTAATGGAATATAAGTTCATAAATTAAGACTTGTGTGTAAATACCTCAAAATTTAAATACTAAATTAAAAATAAATTGTCTTATATAAAATTAAATTCAAAATTTATTATTTTCAAATTATATATTTAATTTTTATATTGTGATGGTAGTAGTAGTAGTAATGATGATATGATAATAATGGTAGCGATAGTGGTGATAGCAATGGTGGTGGCGGTGGTAGTGGTGGTGGTGATAGTAGTGATAGTAGTAGCCATAGCAGTAGTGATCATCGTGGTGGTGTTTATAGTGGCAGCGGCAGCGATGACATGATGGTAGTGAGTTTATAATAATGTTTACTAATACTTATATTTAATATTTATAAATTCAGTCAAAATTAAATAAGTTTTATATGATTTAAAAAAAATTTAAGTTTTAACTTACATTTTAAAAGGCACTTAAATTTTTAAGTGATATTAATTATGATTGTTAAACAAACTTAATTGATTATTAGTTAATACATTCAATTTTAAATACTCAATCATGTTATCAAACACTTATTTGTCAACTTTTTTTTATTTTTTCCTTTCTCCACAACTTCATCATCTAAACAAGACAACTTCATACAAAAGCTTGTGATGTGTGCATTACCAACACTCTCCAACACAAACAAGAATTCTACCTGAATATGAATGAGAGAGAGAGAGAGAATAATATATATGTATTATATATCATCTTATGTTATTCAGAAACTATATACTACAAAAGAAAGACAAAAATTAAAAAGAAAATGACATGAAAGAGCCAACAACCTGCCCTCTACTACTACTTACCATGCAAAATTTCTATTCTGAAAGATTGGCAATGAAAACGAAATGGAATGGATAAAAATTGGGAACTCAAACAAATGCATTAGTCGACCAATAATTTCTCTATGAATTTTAGCAAACGGCGGGAATGGGTCAGTCTGAAGGATCTAGGTCAAGCTTAGGGACAATAGCAGACGACAACTCTGTGAGAAACACGAACAGCACCTATCAGTTGCTCTG